CGGCCCCAGCCCGGCCCTGACAGAAGCCCAGGGTGATGCTGAACGCTGCCAGTTCGTCTCAGATCACATCATTAAAATAACAGAAGTATACATCCATGTAAGACCACTGCTCACTTGTTCGTCTTCATTTTTTAGACGTGTGATGGTTTCTTGCTGTTGAATTTGGCCAGGAAGAGATAGGAATGCCTCACAAAACAAATACTCGTTCTTAAGCCTCTCAGGTTTGTATTTGCTCAGGGACCTCTCCCGGAAATAAAGATTACTTTTGTAATTAGCCATTCGGGAAACACTTTCCCAAATATTCTCAAACAAATTTCCTGTAGTGATTTGCATACCTGTTAAAGTATCGCAAACAAACACATTCACAAACATTTTTAAAAGACTTGTGTTCGTTCAGTGGAAAACTGATTCAGTGTAATCAGAGTATTTACTCTTTTATGGTGGGTCAAATCTAATAATCCATACAAAATGCAGCTACTGACTTTTTAAAATATAAAATATATATGTGTGTGCACACACAGAGCTTTCTATCCAGAAAACTGTCCCACTGGGACTACTCATAGGTATGTCTTTGTAGGACTATAGCTTAGATTAGTATGTATATTTGTATATCTACAAATCTATATCCAATACTTAGTAATTATTTTGATGACTTTAGGAATTCTTAAGTGTTACCCATATTCTTGTTTCTGTAGCTTAGGTGTTTTTTTAATATATCAATCCATTAGACTGTAGAGTGTTTGCTTTTTGTATAAACTCAGCACAAAGTATCAAATGTCTAAATAACTACAAATATGTCTTTTAGCAGTGTTTGGGGCACAAGTGGTGTTTTTAAATAACTGTTGTTAATATGACTTTATTTCTGTATATTCAGTTACTTTTTTTTTTTTTTCTGAAGAATTTTTATTCTCAGTAGTACACCGATAGCGTAGGCTAAAGTATGCAACAGTATGCTTTGGGCTGCTGCCTCATCTCATTGACACTTGAAATTAATCTGCACTAATGCTTCTGAAGATAAAGGAACTGCTTTTTCTTGTGTAGAACAACTGAGAACTCAAAGTGTCTCATACCGTTATGCTTTGTTTTAATATACTAGGGTAAACTTCAGTAAAGTTCTTAAATGCTTTCTAAGTGGTAAAAAAAAAACAGCTCTGATTTCTCTTTCAAACTTCAAAGTGTAGTCACACCTCTTTTCAAGGGGTCATGAATGTATCACCAAAGCTACATACATACAGTCACGGATTTTCCTGTTCGGGAAAATGAAGTTATGACTTTATGTACTTTTTTTTTTTGTGGGGGGTAAGCTAATTTTGTTTTGTTTTGTTTTTTGCTTTAGCTAAAAAACTAGGAATTACTGATGTGCCAGCTGAGGTGGTCACTTTTATTTCCCATGCAACACAAAACAGATTAAGAACAGTGATAGAAAAAGTAACAGTGATAACCCAGCACCGAATGGAGTCGTACAAAGTAAGTGTGCAAAGAAAGGTATTGTATGTCACAGAAAGATGCGGTATGACGCCGTTTTTTCTTGGCACACGGTAGGTGTTTTGTGTTAATTCTGTGTGCAAAGCATGTTTTTAATTGCAGGTTTGTCTACCTCAGCAAACAGAAAGTGGTAGGATGAGAGAGCACTGCTTGCCAGATCTGTCTTCCTCCTCTGTGATAGAATTTGTGTGTAGAATTATGTTTTCATCCTTCCGTGCTAAAGTGTCTAGCTCCATGCTAAATAGCTAGTTAAGCTATTTCTGCTCATGGATTGCAACTAAGACTGTTGGTTCTTGATGTCTCCTTTTTTGACCAAGGTATCCATTGGTTGGATCAAAATTGCTTCAATATATAGGAATCTATAGTAACTTCACATATCCGTGGCTGTGAGAAATACTACTGTTTTACAAAAGCTACCGATTTGTCTTAAGCAAGCAACCTCTGTGATAGGAGAGATACCTTTTTTGACCAAGGTATCCATTGGTTGGATCAAAATTGCTTCAATATATAGGAATCTATAGTAACTTCACATATCCGTGGCTGTGAGAAATACTACTGTTTTACAAAAGCTACCGATTTGTCTTAAGCAAGCAACTAAAGAATTCAGCTGTAAATTCTTCACTGTAGTTAAACAATGGTGTTCTTTTTAAAAAGAACATTTCAAGATAAAATGCTACTCTGATTCCATTGTTAGTGATTGTATTCTTGAAGAAAATTGAAACAATTTAGATATCTTAAACCGGGGGGAAATTTAAATAAGAATCTGCAAACCAGTTTGAAATTCAAATAAATCGAACGTCTTTATTGATAAATATGAAATATCTTTTTTGATAAAAGTAAGATGCTAGTAGTTGTTAAACTGGTGTAAAAGCAACGTGGCAATAACCATAGTTGTGGGTTGTGTCTAAGCTGTGTTTAGATTTATTTAGTGTATATATACAATGAGTAGCTCTGCTTTGGTTTTTTGCTTGTTTTGGGGTTTTTTTTTTCTGTTTTCCTTGAGTGAAAGCCTCGTCAAACAGCTTTGGACTGTACCTTTGCCCACCAATTTCCCAAACCTGAGTCACAGTTGGACTAATTACATGTGGCATTTGCAAGAAAAGTTATCTTTGGGATCTGTGACTAGAATCAGCATTGCTGTGATAGAAAAATGGATTTAAAAAAAAATAAAGGCCACTATGCCTGTGTATCACCTACATTTACATCTTTCCTTGCAATTGATGGACATATTCTGCTATATTGGACTAAAAATCTCCTTGTTTCTTTCCAGTACTATTCATCAGCTTCAGCAGTGTTAAATCCCTCCTTCCTTCTCCCTAGGATGGTGTCTGAGAAGAAAACACTTTGTTTAGTCCATGTTAAGAAGATGCATTTAGAATAATATCTTAACAGATTCTTAGGGAAAAAAAGAAATGGGTTGTCTCTCATTGAACCGTAGCATTTTCGTTGTCTTCTGTATATTTCTTGGTTAATGGTTTTCTTTGATTTTATAGCATTGTAGTCAAAAAGGAAAATATTAAGCAGATAAATCAGATGGAAGTAATATGGATAACTTATTTTTCTGACTGACATTCTGAGTGTTCCCCGAGCAGCTTGTGTCATAAATTCTTACTGTTTGTTGGGTACTAGGAAAGCTTGCATGCTCTTAGTTGTCATAAGTTCTTCTATTTTAATTGTAATTAGAGGCTTATTTTCAACCAAATTTTTAGCTTTAATGCTTTTATAATGCTGCATCTCGATCATGTGTGTTACTAGTTGAAGATGAGTACAAATACAGGAATTGCAGTTTATAACCAGGCTTATATCCTATATCTAGGATTGTTCAGTAATAAAGTTAAGCATCGTAGGGGTTTTTAATCAGTAAGTCTGTTGGTTTTATTTTTTTTTAACTCTTTGATGTCTCTGGTGCTGATAAATCAATCCTTGTTTTTTTAATTTGCTTACATATTAAATAATAAGATTCTAGCTGCGTTATTAACCATAGGCTGGCTTCATTCCCCTGAGCTTAAAGAAAAAAAAAATTTTTTTATTGTTAGCAATGGAAAGATTTTAATGTATAACACCTATAGTCGTCTTTAAATGCATAGTCTTGATGAAAATGCATGTTTTTGTAAAACGTTGTTGTTTTACAGGATGATGAATGGTACGAACAAGCTACAGATGTCCGATCACAGTTAAAGTTTTTTGAACAGTTGGAGCGTTTAGAAAAGCAAAGGAAAGATGAACAAGAGAGGGAAATCTTGCTAAAGGCTGCCAAGGTATCGATATTGCTCTATTTTTTTAAACTACTTACCAATTCATAGTCTTCAAACAATTATTTAATTTTGTGAAATCTGTTTCATAGACACATTTTATTTCTTATAACAAAAAGATACTGTTGTTGTGACATCACACCTTTAATTCATGTCATGCTATCTTATCTATTATGACTCCAGACCTACCTGACTGGAATGCTCTTGCATTTTCAAGATACAGCTCTGAATTTGATGAGTTCTTGGGAATATAGGAGACAATGGCTAACATTTTCAAAATAACTTGGTGAAATAATTTGCACAATTGCCTTTGAAATTTAATAGATGTCAGGGTTTCTGTGCCATTTGAAAATCATAGCTTACACTTCTGGTATTTAAAAACAATTCAGTAAATTGTGATGGATTTTTTTTGAGGCTTTTTTCTTCTTGAGTTTCTACACTTTTTTTAAACAGTTTTGTTCATTTGTTTATTTTAATTTAAATACTACGTGTCCCAGTTGGTGTTCTGGTCACCTCCATATAACTGCATTATTTAATTGATTCATGCCTGTCTTCAGTTAACTCTCAGTTCTTCTGGACTTTTTCCTTTGTAACTTTAATTCCAAAGACTGAATTTTCATACATGCAATAGAACAAACTATATTGTTTCAAGAGCCATACAGGTACAAATAAATCTCCTGTTTATAACTGCAAATTTAATTATATTATATATACCATATCAAACTGCAAATAAGTTTATCCCTTAGTTATCTCAATTTTCATTGCATTTGCATTTTCATTGAATTATTTATTGCATATTCCAAAGAGATTATACAGAACAACTCAATGCTCAATTGTAACACTTAGCCTCCTGATTTTGTGCCATTAATATTCACAAATTGAGAGCATTAAAAAAAAAAAACCACCTACCCTTGCTTATTTCAGAAATTTGTTTCTCAATTTGGCTACTTTAATCTGTCCTAGTTTCACTCGTAATTTATAATCGTTCACATTATTAAATATTCCACAAATTTCCACATAACACATATACTCTTCAATTGTTTAGATGACAACAGATTTACTGTTTTCATTCTTAATTCTTATTTTTTTAAAAAATAAAGAAATGCTTATTTATTTTTTTATCCTGTTTTCTCCATTCAGTGAATACATCTTGATGAATCATGTTTTCTTTTCTGTGTGTCCTGCTACTTGTTTGTTATGTTGGTGGTGTTTTTTCAATGGACATGGAGGAAAATACAGTAGCTTGTAGTCCTTAGTTCAAAAACGTTTCCCTGACTGCACAAAGCCTTTCACAGATTTATCTGAAGTTGGGTTAGATGACCTCCTGCTGTCCCTTCGAACCTGAATTACTTCATGATTCGATGTTCTTTGGTTTGGGGTTTGGTTTTTTTTTGTTTTAGTCTTTAATAATAGAAACTCCTGTGAAGTCAAAATTTAGAAAATAAATACAGAAAGAGCAAATTACAGAATTCTACAACAAACAAATATAAAAAAAAAAAGAGTCCTCTACTTGATTTGAAGAAATTATCTTAATGAAAATAATGAATGCATAAATCAACTTCATAACCAGAAAGTGATAGGGTACAGCTTGGCATAAACACATGGTATACTAGAAAAATAGATGAAGGTATTAAAAAACCAAAACCAAACCACAAAGTAGCCATGAAAGAGCAATGCTGATTTATCAGTATTAATGTTTAGAAAGAGAAGTTGAAGATACTGTGAACCTTTTGAGAGGTGCTTATGCAATGTGGTGATTTAAGTGTAAATGCCAATTTGGAACTGAACTTATATTCATAGCGTCTTTCTTTTGTGGAGCATTCAGCTGGCTCTCAACCCTTCTGTTTCGATAGATTGACGACCTATTGCAAGACTTACGTAGGCCGTAGTTTAGCAAAATACGGTCAGATTACAACTTTTTATTCTAAATAATAGATTGTTCATGATTTCCTTAGAATCTAGGTTGCTGCTCAAATGCCAGCCCACCTGTACATTAACAGTGATAACTGTTGAGATGTTTATTCTGAATTCCTATGTACTAATTCCTTACCCAGCATTTAGTTTCTTCTGGTCTTTTATGAACTTGCCTAGTTGTCTAAGGAGATCTAAGTCTTTGTGGAAAGGATGCAGTAATTGTAATGACACAGTTATTAAATGGACACAGTTAAAATCTGCCCCAGCTGCCCTGATAACTAGCGATAAAGATCAGTAACCATTTCCTGTCTGTTTGTGGCCTGCTGATTGATATTTGTGTCTGCAAAGGGCGTAATGATTAAACTGGCTCTGGAGACTGAAATACCCACTATGCAAAGACATTGTTTCCCTGATTGTGCCATCTTTGTCACCTTGACAGTGTTGTGTCTTTAAAGATTAGAAAACTTGGGATTTTAAAATGAGATTTCCATTTCTGCTTTTTTTTCCTATAAATGCTTAAATCTAAAAATCAGATTTTTTTCTTTTATTTGTAACTGCAGCTTCTTAATGTGCCTTTTAGATGAACAGAGTGATCTTTTATCTTGTACATGTTTTGTCATGTTATTTTGCAACATGTTTTTAAAGTTACTCAGCAGAATGATTTTCAAAATTGCCTGCTAGTGGTACCTCATCTATTGTCTAGTATGGAAGAGTGTAACCAGGTTTAACTTGCACAGTAAAAATTCTATTTTAATTATTTACACTTTGGAGCCTTGTTAACAGCCAAAGTCCAGGTTTTGACAAAGAATAAGATAATGAAGGAAATGTTTTGGGCATTGGAATGGATAGTATTAAATAACCAACAACAAAATAATCAACTGAAAAGATGGTGAAAAATGAAGGAATAGATTGAAATGAAAGAGGAGTCAGCATGAGTCTTTGGGAAGCCTTGAAATCAATTTGGTAATTTTGCATTAGAATTCAGTAAGGAGTAAGAAAGTTATGTAAATGATGGTCAAAGAAAGGTTTGCAGGTTTTTGTTGTTGTTTTGGGTAATGGGTTGGTTTCTTTAGGAGGAGATAAGAAAATATTTGACACTAGTGTTTTGATTGATCTGCAACCATAATTTCAGTTATTACAGTAGGATGTGATTACAGAATTTGTAAGCACCCAGATGGGGTTGGTTTTGCTTCAGGGAATGTTTTTGGGAGAATGAGAGATAAAATCAGATGGGGAGATAGAAGAAAAAAAAGTTACGTTTCAAAAAATATTTTAAATTTTTTACATTCTGAGAAAAGTCACTATCCAAGTTGAAAATAATCGTGAAGCTACAAGAGTATCTTTAAAGCAAAACACCAGTATTATTTGGCTTGTTAAATGAGAGGATATTACAAAATCTTATGTCCCATGCTTGGGAAATACTTGAGAAATAGAAACTTCATACCACAAGCTTAGAAGAATAATGACTGATGTTTGCATTCCAGTGAGATGTTTTAGGGGAAGACAAACTTTACAGGAAAGGAAAAATCATAAGGTATGCTATAGTAGCAATCCAACATACAATTTCTTTTTAATTAAAAACCTAAAAATTGAAAACAAGACTATACTGTTTCAGGAGCTAGCACCATCCCTTGTACCTCAGGGATCTCTGCATCATGTTCCACAATGTATGCATACCAACCTAGAACATATGGCCCAAAGCATTTCTCTAATTTACTTCCTAGTGATTCTTTTTATAATAGAAATGTTTAAAGACATATTGGTCCCCAGAACTGTGGGTTCCAGTCACCTCCTGCTGCTGGAACAGCTCCTGTTTCAAACATCCAGATAATACGATGTGTCAAATATAGAAGCTGTACAGGGAGAGACTGCAGCTGCCTTGATTGTCATTACTTTTGAGTTATCTTCCTGATACATGAATAATAGGGTAAAATAATAATGGCACAATGAGGGGCCGTCTTGTATATAAACACATATGTAGAGTGCGGTCTCTTTAAAGGCAATATTTGGGAGAGTCAACTCTTTGCCCTGTTTGTTTTCCCAGTAAAAACCCACTGGCTGTTGTTTCCATGTGTGTGCAGAAGCAGAGATCTTTTGAATCTGTCTTTGGTGGCTGGTATGGGAAATCGCAAGAGCAGCTAAGGAAAGTCTTAAGATTGCAGAAAGGTCAAAAGCCAGACTAAAATCACTTGAGGAATTTACATTTGACATGGTATGTTGTGTGGACTTAAAAAAACAAAACAAAACAAAACAAACAACAAAGCACAGGTCTTGCTGTAGTAAAAGATGTGTTCCTTGCTGCTTTGATAGCTATTTCCAAAACCTGGAAAATGCAGGTTGTGTGTGTCAAATTGAATGAGGTTCTGGTTCTGGGCTAATAATGGAAATATTTCTGGCAGCAGGAGGAATAGGAGTTTGCAGTTGATTTCTTCTGGTTTGGTTTTCTTTCTGAATTGTTTTTTGGAGAGAGTGGTACTTTCTACAGTAAAGGTACAGGTTGGGGTTGTCCTTGTTTTCAGAAAATCAATAATATTTCTGTGATATAATCTATAATAAAGTGGATCATGTTAAAATTACTATGTAAATTCATCTGCTCAAACTGGCTAAATGCATGTTTATTATCAAATTAATTTTGAAAATTAATTTCCAATATATACATTCTATTAGTCTATTATTTTGAGTGTTCTGTATTAGTAGCACAAGCCTGTCAAGTTTTGGGATTTTAAATACGACTATCACAGGAGTAAGATCTGTTCTGTAAAAGGAATAATTACATAAGTAAATGGAAAATTATGTTTAGTGTTGTTTGCAAAGTTAATTAGTATTTATGGGTGATAGTGATTTTATAGTGCTATAGGCTGAAGGGCTTTTTTATTGGAGAGAGGTCATTGAAATTTGGCAATGCAGATTTCCTTACACGCATGTCCTGTCATTACTTGAAGGGGCTACCTCTTTGAGCCAGAGATGAGTTCAGTCGTCATGCCAATTTAATCCTTTCCCTCTCTTCTGAGAGTACAGTGGATGTAATGCAGCTTTCTGCGAGATGAAGCATTCTCTGAACGGAAACTTATAACTCACTTCTGATAGAGGAG